GCCGCCCCCCCCCAACGCCCACTCCTGCGGCCAAGACTGCCAGCGCCGCCTGGACAGGACCATCGCGGCAGACATATCCGTCGTCGGCCTCGAGTTCGACTACCCCTTCTACGAAACAGCCTCCAACTTCTCCTCGTCTCTTGCCCCGGGGGAACTCCTCAAGCTCCAGCCCCTCGACCCCCGGAACCTCACCATCAACGGCGGCGCAACCGTCTTCCGCATCCAATACACATCCCTCGACTACGACGGCTCCGTCGTCCCCGCCACGGGATTCATCGCCTTCCCCTACACGCCGCGCTACTCCTTTGCCCAGGACCTTTGGTCGGCGTCAAACACCTCCACCCGGAAGTACAGGCTGGCCGCCTTTGCCCATGGCACGATTGGCATCTCCCCCGGCTGCGCGCCGTCCAACGGGCCTGCGCTGTACGACTATTCCACCTGGCAGCCCGTCCTGGAAAGGGGCTACGCCATCGTTGCCACCGACTACGCCGGCCTGGGGAACAACTACACCAGTCACAAGTACCTCAGTCTTCCCGCGCAGGCAAGCGACGTGTACTACCGGCGTCATTCACCAAGGAGTGGATGAGCTTTGGCCACTCGCAGGGCGGCGGCGCCGTCTGGAGACCCGCAGAGAGCAGATTTGTGCGCAACGACAGGACGTACCTCGGCAGCGTGGCCATTGCCCCGGCGACGTACTTCATCAGACAGCTCGTGGATAGCCTCTTGGCGGCGAATTGCACGTCCTTGGGTGCGCAAAAGGCCACCGGCGCCGGGTTCTTACCGTACGTGCTGCTCGCGGCGCAGCGCGCCGTTCCTCGTACAGGGAGTCGATGCTGTCGCCAGTCTTGCGGAACAGGACGCAGCTGGCAGTCGAGGCGCAGCTATGTCTGGAATCTGTGATTGGGATCAGTGTAGACCTGGACGCTAGCCAGCTCGTCTCGGTGACAGGCGCTGAAAAGGATATTCCTACGCTGCTGAGGTGGGAGAAGATGGTGGCTCCGGCACAGGGGGATCCGAGTCCGGCACCGGTTTTTGTTGTCCAGGGACAGAATGATACGGCTGTGTCGTGGAAAACGACAGCCCAGGCATGGAATTCTTCGTGTCATGACGGTAATGAGCTGCACCTGAGACTGTTTCCTACGCAGGGCCATCGGCCGAGTTTGACCGCTGGTGCGGCCGAGTCGTTGGCCTGGATGGACCATCGGTTTGAGGGCAAGGAGAACAAGAGGTCCAAGAGCAAGTGTACCAAGATCACAAGGATGCCATTTAACTTGCAGTATGTCAAGGCTGCTACTGATGTAGACTTGAAGCCGTTTCTCAAATAGGTAAACGATTCGGGGGTCCTAACGAGGGATGTTCCCAACGTTCCGTGAACGCGACGACATTTACGTTTCATTTAAATTATCATGAGATTAACTTATCTTCTTGAGCCGTGATAGGCAGCTGAGTTTATACCGTGGTGGTAGATAGAGTACCATCAATCACGTCTTATTGATCGTGGGAAAAGCGGCCCTGGCGCGTCGCTCCCAGCCACCAACCCGACGGCTTTGTATAAGACTGAGTACATCCATGAGCTATCCATGAGCTGTCGGTCACTTCTCCGTCCCAACCGCCTCGTGAAGTTTTTATCTCAGGTCTACAGTAGGTGTATCTCGAACAAAATTGATAGTCACTTCATATCTGGTAGATCCGGCCAATATGTATCATGGCTGGCCGACCCGCACCTTCACTACTGCATGAGAGTGAGACCTCAAGATGAGGAGCGGCGGAGTAGGAGGGCATGGACTGAAACCCATGGGCGGAAGAGGCCGGCTGTAAACATCCCAGGCATGTTGTCGCGGCGGCAGGCAGGCAGAGCCACAGCGCCAGGGGAACTATCGGCTCGACTTCTCATTCGGTTTGGCCACGGTTCCTCAGGTCTCAGAACAACCCCCAAGCAGTCGCGGAGCCGTATACGACACCAATGGGGTACTATCGCACCAACATATGCCGAAAAAAGCTCGATTTGATCATACTCGCCTCACAATGGCTCTTCACAAAAGCAATAGCATCAAGTGTCGAGACGCTTTCGTAGTTCCCTTTCTTTCTGAAGCACCTCGAGTTCTAGCCGTTCAACCCCGTAACGAAGGGCCTCTTTACGCTGACGAACAATGCGAGCTCTAAGTTTGTCTTCTCCGGTCAACTTGCGCCCCTTAGCGGTATTCTTTTTATCAGCCTCATCCGGCCGTGCGAGGCGACCTTGTTGAAGCTCTGCACGGGCCTTAAGTGTTTCGATCCGCCGTTGTTGTCGCTCTATTTGTGCATCAGCTCGAGAGAGCAAGAGTGCAATATACGGGCCAATTTCGTCTCGAAGCGAGGATTCAGCAGCAGCAAGAGTTGTTTGGGGAATGAGTTCGTAGTGCTACCAAATAATACATGTTAGATGTGCAATGGCAAGGTGGATTTTTGGCCAAGAGATTGTTCGCACCCGGACAGTTTTCAAAACCTTGACGAGTCGTGGAAAGTCGGCTACGCCTCCATCCAAAGTCTCGACCGATGATTCAAGATAATTCAGTGCGCTGCGCAGCGAGGAGACACAGCCGGCATACGATGCCGTGCCAGGGGCGGAGGCTGTCGTAGCCATTGCTGGGGGAGGCAAGAGCAGCGGGACCAGAAGCGACCCTAAGTCACCAGCCAACGGGGACACGATACTCTAGGCTGGTCGTTTTTGCGTTGTTGCCGCGACGGGTACCGTGATCAGAGGATCGTGAGAAAAGACAGGCTGGTGTAGCTCGCGTGTCGAGGTGCGGTGGCCGCAAAAGTTTCAAGAATGCGGGCTCTTGTCTCGTCGTAATAAGAGAGAGACGCGGGAGGACAGGAACGGGGCCGGCGGAGGGAGGGAAGGGCAGCACCGCCCAGAAAAAACTCACGATGCTTGAATGGTGTGGTTGTTCAGTCGAGCTTGGGTGGAGCGTTGCGACGGTACAATATCGCGTCTCAAAGGCGTCTGCAGGCGCTAACTGGTCTCGCGGCTTGCCCGAGTCTGTGGCAAGTGGCAAGTGGCAGTCGCCGGTGACCAGCTCCACCATTAGCGCCGTGAACGCAAGCCCACCTGCCTGTTTGAGCACAACTGACCTCGCTTGTCTCGCGTCTCGTTCCTGCCTTCTCACAAGATGTCACGCAGGCGGTGGTTTGGCTGGCAGAGTACATTTCGCGTTAGTCAGGCCGTCATACTGACACCGAGTGTCCTCAAGTTCAAACCTCCCATCTCCAACTGCCCTGTCTCACCATCTGTAAGAGCTTATTTACGCTGGAATGCCAGCAAATGCATGCCAGGTCTTTTCTTGCACAGACTAACGGATTTACCGGCCATCTTTTTTTGTCGGCCCAGCCACTCAGCTAGCTCTTGGACAAACGCTCTCCACCATAGCGCCAGACAAACCATCCTCTTCCGTCGGGCTTGGATGCTTCCTATGGAACAAGAAGATAAACAGACAGGCCCACGTTTTGGTGCAACACCTCATTCGATACCGAGATCTCTTACTAGATGCCTCGAGTTATAATTAACCAACTCCTCTGCTTCTATATATGTTGCCAAACTTCCATCGTTATTCCCATGGCTCTGTCGTCTTCACTGTTCAGAAGCCATCGTCAGGTTGTGTCTCTGAGACCAAACTCGACATCTGTGCCATCGTCACTTGACCGAACATCGTGTTGACCAGGCATGCAACGTAGCATGCCAGCTGCCATGAGCGGTCCCCCCGGTTGCGGGACATGAAGCCATCGTGACCGAATTCGGGCTAACGGCCATCTCTCAGCCCATCCATGCGGTGCATCGTGAGATTGGTAGAGGAGGTGACGCTTCTCAAGCATGTTATGACCCAACGATGCAGCCAATCCTCCCTTTCTGACTGAGACCCTCCTGTACCCCATACGTTTACCAGCCCACCCCATACTCCTCGGGCATTTTACCCATATAATGCCGTGGCCGCCGGTCTTTGTATTTCTGGCTGGTGTCTAAAGCTCAGCTCTTGCCTGGGTTGTCTTTTTGTGAGTGAGTATGAATTTGAGCTGGAAGCCACCTTTTACGGTCGTTACCATCCCCAACTGGGATACTATCCCCAATCTCTCATATGGCTCACCAGCCGGCAGCTGCTGCTGTCGCCTATGGTGTCAATGGTCACGGCTTGCGGTTCTTGAACGAAGATTGGAACGACAGCATATCCAATGGGAACCTATTCACCCTGACTTGGAATCAGTCGTTGGTCAAAGCCGGTGCTGAGCTGGGTCTCTTCAAGGTTACATATCCTGCGGATGGTGTCGTCGTGTACGATTTAGTGGCCAACTTGACTGGTTTGTACTCTCGCTGTTCTCTTTGCATATTTCAACTCACTAATAGAACGGTTTGATAGATGCAATGAATTCCACATCTTGTGTGTGGACTCCAGAGGCGTTACAGAATGAGTTGTACGCAGTTTGGCTTACCAATGGTCAGCATGTTCATCCAAATTGGACAATTTCGCCTCCTTGGATTCCAAAACAAGAAGTAAGTCTCTCTCTCTCTCTCTCTCTCTCTTCATGACCTGGCGAAGGTTGAAAGTGACATTCCTTCTCCACATCCCTTCGGCGCCAAGCGCTCTGCTATGTTCACATTGCTCTGTTTACATCTTTTTGTCCCAAGCTCTTCATATGCCTAACGAGAAAATACTCAAGTCAAAACCCCGTTTCCGTTTGGCAGCGACCATAGCTATTCCTCTGGTTTCCCTACTTGCTCTGTATGCCATCTCTTTGTCCATCTATCTTGCACATCGTCGGCGGAGAAGAGAGAAACGGGAAAAGGAAGACGCAACTCCCCACCAGGACGTTAGTCGGAATGGCTCTGTGGACTCTGCCATTACTGTGCAAACTATCACCGAGTCGGAAGACGGCATCAAGTCGAAACCAAGCCTTCGGCTCATCACTCGTCCTCCCGAGGAACAAAACACGACTACTAGCGAACTCTTAGAGGATGAGGATACAATTGTGGAACCTGTTAGCCGAGGCGACAGATCGACTGTACAATCACCAGTGTAATAATAAGGGACTTTTGGTAGTATAGAATATGGAAGGGCTTGCATTAGGTATCATACCTCGCGGTAATGAAAGCGGAGACTGAGAGACGGAAAAGGAGTGTATAGGGCATAAGTGGGTATCTATCATGTATCGTTTCTCATTGTGTGCATTGGGACAAAAAACAGGGGCAATTGGTGTTTGGGCTTTTTGATAAACATGTATACAAGTACAGCTAGTGTTTGAACTGGCTGACCCGTAGCTCAAGACTCATAACCGTGCTGTGACACCAGCATAATTGAATTAGTTTATGCATGAGTGAGTGTTCGTCGTTCAGCCACGTCCAATATCTAATCCAAAGCATATCAGCCATGGTGCAGGGCAGATCATCCATTACTATGTCCATTCAAAGTATGCAAATATACACGGAACGATATTTTCATTACGGAGAACGGATACAGAGTTGGATTCAGGTCACCTGACCCACATTGTGATGTTTCCAGCATCGGAACGACGGCCTTAGGATTTTCCTTGCCCAGGCCGGTCAGCTCCACGCAAGGACGACGTTAGCGCCATCAGTGAGCTGCAGGCAGGAACCTCTTGCGTTGCGTGCGGCCTCATGAATTGACCAACCCCAACAAGCACCAAACGAACATCACATCCCACGCGACATCGGCCGAACCCATCGCGACGTTATTGTGACAGAAATAAACACCTAGAAGCTCTGATTAATATAGAGCCAACAGGATACAGGTGCTGGAGATACAGACGAAGCCACAACCATGTCCGAAGCTACGTTAAAGCCCGAGAAGGACTTCACGAAGGAGGTCGACCAGCAACTTCCGGAAGCTGAAACTCTGGCAAAAGTACACCTCCATCAGTAGAGGGAGCGGTGCGATAGAGATACATGAAGCTGACTCTAGTGTGCAGACCAATCTTCAAGGCGCAATCGAGAAGCTTACTGCCCTTGAGAAGCAGACTCGGCAGGTATGGCCCCGAGCGCCGCCTAGTTCGCGGTTGACAACTGCAGTCGGAGCTAATGAAATCGTAGGCCTCCGATTTAGCATCGACATCTCGGGTTCTGATCGCAATCGTAACCCTCTGCAAAAATGCCGGCGACTGGAGCTTGATGAATGAGCAAACGCTCGTCCTTTCCAAGAAGCATAGCCAACTCAAGCAGGCCATCACCAAGATGGTACAGACCGTGGTTGGCTTCTTAGATGACACACCAGACCTCAAGACGAAGCTCTCAGTTATCGAGACTCTTCGGACTGTCACAGAGGGAAAGATATTTGTCGAGGTGGAACGAGCCCGTGTGACTAAGATTCTTTCCGATATCAAAAAGGAGCAGGGGGATCTGAAAGCTGCCACGGAGATCTTGTGCGAATTGCAGGTGGAGACATTTGGCTCTATGGACCGACGGGAAAAGACTGAATTCATTCTAGCACAAGTTGCGTTGTGCATTGAGAGTGAGGACTGGACTCAGGCTAGTATCCTAGGCCGCAAGATCAGCACACGGTATTTGGCCCGTAAGCCCAAGAAGACTGCCGAGCAGTTAGAGAAGGAACAGAAGGAGCGTGAGAAGAAGAGGGCTCGAGGCGAGGAAGTTCCAGAGGAGAAAGAAGACGATACCACAGACCTCAAGTTGCGGTACTATGAACAGCAAATCGCCCTTGCGAAACATGATGACAAATATCTGGATGTGTGCAAGCACTACCGACAAGTTCTCGATACCGAAGCGGTCGAGGAAGACCCTGCTAAGCTTCATCCCGTAAGTTGACCCGCTTGATCTGGGCTCTAGCCAATATGAAAACTGACAAGACTTCAGGTGCTTCAACGCATCATCTATTTTGTCATCCTTTCCCCTTATGATAACGAGCAACACGACCTACTTCACCGCGTATTCAAAGACACGCGGAACTCTCAAGTCCCGTTGGATGCCGAACTCCTCAGGCTGTTCACCGTCCACGAACTGATGCGATGGCCCGAGATTGCCAAAAAGTTTGGTCCACACCTGTGTAGCACCGATGTCTTCGATGCGCAGCCCGGCCAGTCGTCCGATGCGAAGGCTCACCAGCGTTGGGAGGACCTTCGAAAGCGTGTCATCGAGCACAACGTCCGTGTCGTCGCCAAGTACTATACTCGAATTCGCATGAACCGTCTTACCGAGTTGCTCGATTTGGCTGAGGATGAAACTGAAAAGTATATTAGCGAGTTGGTCACGTCGAAGACTGTCTATGCCAAGATCGATCGGCCCGCTCGAATCGTCAGTTTTGCTAAACCCAGAGGCGCCGATGATATTTTGAACGAATGGAGCCATAACATGAAGAGTTTATTGGGATTGCTAGAGAGAATCGACCACCTAATCACGAAGGAGGAGATGATGGCTCGCATTCAACCCACAAGTGCAAAATAGATGAATGCCTGGTAGGACGGGATTGTAGACGGCTTGACTTGCGAGGGGGTTACAGAAATAGGCGCAATGGTCGTCGGGACTGATGGTCATGCAGTTATGGCTTGTACAGATTTAGACAGTCCTCAAGAATGGAGGGCATTTTAATGGAGCATCAAAATTTGACTTGCATCTATATCTAGTCTCTTAGTCTAGGTGTCTGTATATCTGCACTGTCTACCAAGCTTGCCAAACCCCCGTCACAACCCAGCCTTTGGCGCTGCATCATAAACATGCTGCTTAATAAACCCAGCCAAGGGCATCACCCACTCCTTGGACACAGGAACATGATGACCACCGGGGTGCACCACCTGCGTCGCACTCTCGCACCTGTCAATCAAGGCCTGACTCCTGCTCTCCTCCACAACCGTATCCAAACTGCCGAGGTAGTGCAACGACGGCGTGCGTATCTTGGGCTTATACAAGAACTGTAACGACTCCGGTGTCGCCCAAAACCCAGAATAAGACACGGCAAACTTTGCTGCCCTCCCGCCGTTGGCTTCCCGCAGCTTCCTCACCCATTCGCCTGCCGGTCCCTCGGGCACAGCTCGCTCTGCCTCCAGCGCCGCTGCCACCATGCCCGTCGCCGCACCGCCTTGGCTGAATCCACACACGCCGTCTACGCCGCCCGCTTCGCGGATAGCCTGGGCGATGGTCTCCATGCCCTTCTCCAGGTAGATGTATTCTCCTGAGCCCTCGTCCTTGCGCCACCACGCCCACGTGTCCGGTTGGTAGTCGTCTTCCTCGGCGGGGTCGGAGGGTGGTGAGTAGAACGGCATGTCCTGGGGCAGGAGGCGGTTGGGGCCAGTGGGATAGATGAGCACGGGGGTCAGGGAGAGAGGGGACAAGACCTTTGTGAGGAGTTTTTCCAGGGCGCGGGTTTTGGCGCGGAACAAGGCTCCTGATTGTGTGTAGCCTGGTCATGTTAGTCGGGACTCGGGGGTCCTTGCGAGGTGTGCGAGCGGGCGGGCGCTGTGTGCGTTTGTACATGGAGGGGAAAACGAGCTTGCGGCGGAAAGGAAGCGGCGGACGTGGGTTTGACATACCGTGAAGCATGAGGATCTTGACTTCAGCCTTGCCACCGCTCATCTTGGCTGGCTGCACGGTAGCACCGTTGGACTCGGTCGAGGCCGTCATCATGCCGAGGCTGGCTTTATATGGGGCGGAAACTCGGCGCAGGGGGAGTAATCTAGGTCGTGCGATGGTCTGTGAAAATGGGAACATGTATAGAAAAGGGAATGATCTATGTGCGCGACCTTGGAAGCAGATGAAAGGTTTGAGCTGGGGATGGCTTTGGGGTGGTTTGCGCCGGGCGGGTGGATTTGTCACGGCCGGGCATGCGTCAGCCGGCGAGGAGCCGAATACCGAGCATCGGCGACAAGAGTCGGGTGTTTACAAGGACGAGTGAGATGATTCATTTTGATGTGTGGAAGGATGATTTGGTGGCTTTGGGTATTCTACAACGCATTCGGGCGTCGGATTACCCCAGTTACGTATAGTGTGGTCACGGTGGCCTGGATGGGTTCATTGCCGACTTGCGACCTGGCAATCTGCTAGTTGACGCATGCACCGACGCCTACACTGAAACAATGCGAAGTGTCCAAATGAGAAGATCGGTAGTGTACATTGTTTGGTGAAATGGGGCTTCTGGGAAACCTCAAATTGTTTCTCTAAATATGCGTTTCGTCGCAAGCCAGGCTGAAGTTTGATGCACAAGGTCTATTAAATCCCCGGATGCGAGTCTATGATACAGTATCACCCCAGATAAACTATCCGGCGTATTTCTCGCTCGATGGAACCGGATTATGCTTCGCTCTCAGCGACAAATTGTCCACTCCACCCTCTCTCACAACTTCTTATCGACTTAGTGGCCGCCGGTCTTGGCCTTGGGGTTGCGAGGGTCGTTCTTCCACTCATCGGCTGACGTAATTGTTAGTAATGTGTGCTCTATTGGCGCAATTGCAGGCGCGGGATATGCATACAGGCCATCATGGCGTTCTGGGCGGAATTGGCACCGTAGGCAATGACGAGACCTGGAACTCAAGTTAATCACTATTTGATGCGGCGTGATCAGGCGGAAAGTCGGGACGACGTCATCGGTAGCTGTTTAAGCACGTACCAGCAGCAAAGAAAGGCCACATCGGCTTCACTATTGGTGATTGTTAGCATCAAGGTACCGAGAGGGAAGGCTGCATTTTCGGGGCCATCGGGCGCGTCAATTGAACGCTCGGGATTGACGTACGGAAAGGAGCCGGGAACTTCTTGAAGGGAGCGACGCCGAGCCAGGACATGATTGCGGTTATCGTGGGTATCTCGAGAGATTGGAAGGGGTTGGATGTGGTGGATAGTGTGCTCGTGGTGAAGTCTTCAAAAGAGCCTTTTCGACGGCCGATTCCACAGAGCTCTCACCTGCGGTTTAAGCCGACAAGTTTCAGCCTCAGGCAGCCAATAGCCAACGACGGAGTACTCATTTATCCGCCAGCTCCACTGCGAATGCGGAGGTCCACGTGACCACCCTCATCACCAATTTTGTGACATCATAAGCTGGCCTGCTAGGAAGCTGCTATCCGGTACCATTGAGGAAGTCAATCTGCTGCATTCGGCTGTGACTGGAATTCGTGCCACCGCCTCCTCACCCCCTCACATCCTCCTCGGAAAGCCGTGTTCAAACTGCTCACGGTCCCCTGTCTAATCATAACACATCTCTCGTAACTCCAATTGGCAAAGTGCGGGGTGAGAGACCTCGTTGCAACGTACCTGTGCCGCGCATCCAATTGACGGTCGAGGCTGCCCCCCATTTCAACAGCTTCACTCACAGACACGCAAAAGACGCCGACACTACACGCTCCTTCTGCTCTTGTGCCGCCAACTGCTCTACAAGGAAACCACCGTGCTGCTTCTCCGCGCCCGACTTACAAAACACCACCCATTCTTAAGCTCCGTCTTCCGCCTCCGCTCTTAGCCCTTTTGACACAACGGGGAGTTCTCAATCTTTGTGGGTTTCGTTGAGGAAGTATTTTTCTCCGTCTGAACTCAACCCCCGGCCTTGTCAAGCTTCAGCGGTGCTCCGTCTCTTGAAACTTGGAGCTTCTTGGACCTCTTTTTCGCCACCTACTTCCTCGCCATGTTGTCACGAACCCTTCATCGCCGTGCTGCCGCCGCAGCCCCGCGTAGTGTTTTGCGAGCTCTCAGCACCACGGCCGCCAGGCAGTCCAAGACTCCATCGATGGGAGACATCAATCCTTCCAGGGCGCAAATTGATTCGTTCAACAGGAAGCAGCACGAATTCCGAGAGAGGTTGGTGGAGGCACAGAAAGAACAGGGAGCACGTGCGTTATCTGCTAATAGTTCCACTGCGTCCGAGGCCTCGGGCCAAGGCTCATCCAAGACTGATGCAGGAATTACTTCCGAAGCGAACAAGCATGAGGCTCAACGAAAGTCTGGTCCCCTGTCGAATCTCATTTATGGCACCAAGGAAGGTAGAGAGATGGAGGCACAAATACAAGCCAGCTTCAGTCAGGTGCTCGCTCGCGGCAAATATGTTCACTCGATCGTCTTCCACGAGGTGAAGCCAGAGAAGGTGGACGAATATATGGAGCTCGTTGGCCACTTTTATCCGAAGATGGCCAACCTGCCTGATAATAAGGTACATCTTGTTGGCAGTTGGCGAGTCGAAATTGGTGACTGCGATACATTCGGTATGGCTTAACTACTATTCTTTGGGAAAAAAGGAAGACGGAAGTTAATAATTTCTACAGTGCATATTTGGGAGTACCAAAAGTACGAAGGTTACCATCAATCTCGATACTCCATCACCCACCACCCCGACTTCGCCGACTTTGACAGTAAACTGAAACTGTTGATCAACTCCAAGAAAATTTCACTGATGCAGGAGTTCTCTTTCTGGCCCACAACACCTCCGCGACAGCTAGGCGGCATTTTTGAGCTTCGCTCGTATACACTGCACCCCGGAAATTTGTTGGAGTGGGAGACACACTGGCGACGTGGTCTCAAGGCCCGACGAGAGGTCATGGAGGGCGTGGGCGCGTGGTTTGTTCAAATCGGAGAGCTCAACACCGTCCATCATCTATGGCAATTTGCCAATCTGGAGGAGCGCCGAGAACGCCGAGAGAAGAGCTGGTCGGTTGAAGGATGGAGCGACACGGTCCATAAGACGGTGCCGCTTATCCAGAGCATGAAGTCACGAATTTTGATTCCCATGCCCTGGTCGCCAGTGGCGTAAGGTGCATTCCCACCATTATTATTCTGCATGGAACACAGACGGCAGGGAGATGAGGATGCGATAGGGGAGAGATTGATTTGGTTTGCCGAGAGCTCGAAGTATGTAGCCGCATTTCCTTTCACAGAAGCATTTTTTTTATTGTTCATTTGTCAATGGCGCCGGTGTAACACATCATGTATCATCAATCAAGGCCCCTTGGTAGAAGATATACTAAATGTATTGAGCATTGAATACTCCCATTATGTATGCCCTGTTCCATTTGTGCAACTCTGAGTGGCCTATAAACTCCGTGGGTATCCAATGCAAACAAATGCCATGCCAATAAATGAATTCGGCCCCTAAGTCTCCAATTCCACGCCCATAACCGCTGCCAGATTATACCTTGCCTGCCCCAACATGTGACTCAGGAAGCCCAGCTTGGAATACAAGGAGATCAAGCTTGGATCCGCGCTTTCTATCCTCACCTTTTCCCGAACAAAGACATTCTCGGTCCGGTCTCTCTTGCCGCTCGTCCTGGCGCCGCCAAGCCCCCTCTTGGGCTCGCAGCTGCCGTCGCCGTCGGGGTCGTACCGAAACACCGTGTCCATCTCATCGTGCTCCAGCCTCCGCACCGTCCCAATCGCCAGGCCCAGCTTGACGCCGAAATGCACCGGCGCGTCGGCCGGCTCCAGCGCCCGCAGCCACAGCACGATGCTGCTCTCCTGCAGCGTCATGTGGAAGCTCAAGTTGGGCGGCAACGCCGGCGAGAAGTGGTGCGCCGGGCAGGACGCCGTCTGCCACGCCGGGTCCGGCTCGCCTGATGCCGACCCCTTGAGGAGCCCGGCCGACTCGGCCAGACACTCGGCCAGCGCGGCCAGCGCAGAGGCAATGTTGTCTGCTGTCGGCGCGGGCGTGTTGTCCAGCAGGAGTCCCAGCAGGTCGATTGACTGCGTGAGATTGGTGAAGATGGCGTCGAGGGGCGGGATATGGATCGGCTCAAGGGGCGAGATGGTGAGTTGCTGCGCGGGCAGCGTTCGCAGCTGGAGGCTTAGCGTCTGTTTTCTCGGTCAGTTTGGCCCTTTTATTGTCAGGGAAAAGGGAGGGTTTCTACGGACGCCTTTGACGAGACGGGTTCCCACGCGTGTGACTGTCCCTTTGACCTTTTCGTTGCGGTGCGTGCTCATGACCAGTGTGCTGCCGGGGTCGATGGGTGCGAGCAGTGCATAGCAGTCTTCGATGCCGTGCTTGAGCTCGTGGCAGAGCGTCATTGTTTCTTGCACTATCCATTCTAATTCGCGGTCCTGCAAGGCCCAAGGTTGTGTTATTCATTGCGCGGTTAGGGAGAGGACGGCGCGACTCACGAGGGATTCGGCCGCTTTGATTTGCAGCTCCTCGGGAGAGATGTGTGGCCAGACTTCGAGCGTCATGGTGTTTTGGAATTTGAGCTATGGTGGCACTGGGCACAGCCGCGCCATAACTTGCTTGTGTTGAGACGGCGACGAGCTTCGATGTTGGAGGTGAGGTTGAAATGACGTCGGGAAGTCTGGTGCTGTGAAGCAAGTAACTAGCAGGACGTGCATGCAGTGGGGGCTGGAGGCTGATTGCACGGGGTTCAGGGCGGTGGTGGGGAGGCGGCAGCCATGCACTTCAAAGATCTCCTAAGTTACCAGTTGACATCTTGGCGCTCAGTAATTCTTCTCTGCAACACGATCCCGAGACCGCCGACAGCGCGTGCATTGCATGCCCTGTACAAGGCGCCACTGCTATTGCTGTCGCCTTGTCATTGAATTTTGGCACTGCTCACTCACATTCTGCGTACCGCCAACATGGCAAAGGCTCATCCCCCTGAGCCATCTCGTGTCAACAAAAATCCTCCCATTGCGCAAGGTAGGCAGCCCAACACATGGCCCGTTTAGAATACGCCTGATGCCCTTAGGATGCAAAATACAAAAAAGACCGCTCAACAGGCCCCAGATCCCATCCTCCTCAAAATCTCCAGTCATCTACATATCTTCTCATACCCCCTTCCTGTCCGCAGTCAGTCGCGTTCGCAAACTCCTCACCAAGTCCCTACGCAACACAGCGGCAGCCCCCAAGAATGCGTCAACCCATGCACGTGTGGAAGCGCTACAGCGTAGCACCAATACCGCGTATGGGAATGCCTCGCCACTAGTGGTCACCGTCCTGGGCACGGGAAAGGCCATTGAGAAGACGCTCAGCTTGGCGAGTTGGTTCGAGCAGCAGGGGGATTGCGACGTTCGGTTGAGGACCAAGACGGTTGGGACCGTGGATGATGTAATTGTCGAGGAAGGGGAAGGGGATGAGCTGCATAGGATCCGGAGAGTTAGTTGCTTGGAGGTGGTCATCACGTTGAAGTGAGCACAGCACCTTCATTTCCAGCACATGCTATCGTGTGCGGTGAGGGTTGAAACGTGCCGTAATCGGCCCGGTGTCGGAATCGGACCTCTCCACGCAATCACTATCGCTCTGTCACCATGCGGGAGAACCAATCTCGCGAATTCGGCGGCATGTTGTGCGCAGAGATATCTCGGAAGTCGGCAACTTTTTGTTGCAGTTTTGGAACATTGCAAAGACCAAAAGCTCTTGTCTCCGCATTCCTGATCGACTGCTCCAACGCAATACAACTACTCTACCCAGTCGCGTCGTCTTCAAAACGGGGACTGTCCGTTTTTTTTGACCGATTCGGGTCGGCAACAGCTGCAGTGACACGCCCTCCCTGAAGGCCCGGTGATCAGGGCACGGTACGTTGTTTGAATGTAACTATCACGGTGTTGATATTGGCCCAGAAGTGGCACAAGATGAATAAAACTCTGGTTAAGTGTCATCTAAAACTCTCATTATAGCAGGATAAAGTGGGCCGGATTTCTCTCAACGTCCAACTCGGAATAAGAAATACACCGAGCGCACCAGGTTAAGCTGAAGATAGGGGAATCTCAATTTTCAGACAAGGTGGCATTTTGGAAGGTTGATCGGCCATAGGACACTCCGATTCGCCGTTGTTCACTGCATGTTGGTCCTTTGCGTAACAACACTTTGCTCATTGGTGAGCATCTGGGGCCATGGATGAGGTTAGAGAAGTTCATGTCCTTTCCCCAGCTTCCGTAATAGCCGATCCGTAGAAGTCCGCTGGCCATTCACCGAAACGAAGATGCTCTACGCTGTGCTGGATCACAGTGTCGAGCGGGTCACAAATTGATAGGATCCCACGGGATATACAACTGGACCTTCCCGCCGGCATATAGGCTCACCTGTCAGTACTAAGTAGTAGTCACCAAGTCGTTCTACACACTTCCAAATATTGGGTTTGCTCTTGAGGGCGCCCCTTAGTTGAGAATACTCTTCGCTGCGCGTGGCTATTCACATCTTTGTTTCGTACTGCTAAGACTGAAGAAAGAAATGATTGACAGCGATAAATGACAAGGGGCTGCTTCCCAGCGATTCGAATCTGGAGAGATACATGCCAACTCTGTTCAATAAACAATGCTGGACACCTTGCGAAAGTGGCATAGCAGTGTGCTCTCTAAACAACTTATTCACTAGTCGTGATGTAACCCTGGACACTGAATGCAGTTCGTCATATGTATGACCTCCTGTCGCCCCAAAGAACGAAATCAGATTCGGAACGGAAATTTTGATTTGGATGCCGCATCTACTCCGATTGTCAGTACTTGGTCCGACATGCTGGCACCCGGCTCCCTCCTTGGGGTCGGAAATAGCCGCCATGGTCCCTAAATCATCGCCCCCGCAGGAGGTGAGCTTGTTCTACATAGGCCATTCAGCCTCAGCATGTGTAGTACATTTTCATATTACCGACGTTATGACAACCAAGTCCTACAAGCATCAAGTGGGAAGACGGCTTGCCGACCCTTTAACGTTGTGCTATCACCTCCGTACGGTGTCCGTTAATGGTGTGGACACACACCTCATGCACATTTCATCTCCGAATGAAGGTCTCCATTATCCACGTACTAGTTTGCGGAGTACTGACAAAGACTCCGGGTATCCATCTGCACAGCCGAGTGAGCGGATCAAACCCAGATGCTCCACGACTTTTTGGCACAGCATGAAAATATTATAAGAATATGGCACGGGCCAAAGGCCGGATTTCTGACTGCCGCACAGCGATTTAAAAAAAGGGGGGGGACGAGCCCACAGGTGTAATGCTAATCAGTTCGGATGAGTATGGTTTTCTCGGAGTTTGACAGGAGCGGTCGAGTCAGATCTGTCTGGTTTAGTATCGCCGAGCCAGGCCTTCGCACTTGCACCTTTGCCTGTATTCCTGAGGTAGCATTCCGGAGTGCACGCGCATGTACTGTCATTACCTATAAGTGGCACAGAAAATGACGCTGCTCAATCGCCGACGTCAAATAAGGAGCGTCCTGTGTCATTTTCTCGTCCAGCGCGGCAAGACCGCTGGGATGAAGGTATTTTGGTCCGGAGGACATGGGATGTAAAGCTGACGGGATTTCTCCTGACGCCGGCCTGCATTCCGCAAATGAATGATACTCTTTGGGCGGACAACTCTTGAAGCTCTTCCAGCTGTGCTCCAATGCGTGCTTCGTTCGTTCAGGAGTTTCAGTTGCTCAATTGGGAACGCAGCCGATCCAAGACGGAGAAGTCCCACCCGCGGACTTAACATGTGCTTCCATGGGAATAATCCAAACTAATTCCTCCCAGGACGAAAATTAAACTCCAATAGACATTGGTGGCGGAATATTATGCCTCATGCGACGGAAGCTCTGAATCTCGACCCCGTTTGAGTCTGTCAATTAATGACTGTTATACATTGAGAAATGCACATTGTCGAAGGGCTACTTCATAACTCCCAAACTTTCTATTAATGATTATGCCCACGCTGTCAAACACGTTTTACCCACCTCCTACGGTAAGAACCCCGGCGTTGGTGAGTTTTCGGGCTTTGCAGGTCGGCGGTGAGCTCGTCAAGGCCGGATAAGCCCAGCTCAATTGAATTGACGTCGGCGAGTTTGAGTAATAGCGACCCTTTGTCTCTAGTTGCAAACACTCCTCGTGGTTGTTTAGTGTAGGGGTTTAAACTAGGTCAACCCCCATGAGGGACGATACGTTTTAAGAACCCAGGAGCTGCCTCCGAGTAATCACGGCTGGTAAGCCCGCACAGAAAACCCAAAAGCCCAGCCAGTGGCTAACTCACTGGCATGTTAATGCATTGTGACTTGAAAACGATTAGTTTGTAAGAGCTGCGGCAGGCATGGACATCTGAGATGGCACGGGAATCGGATGCCTCTACCCATCAGCGGCTTTCCAGATTCCAGGAATGAGGAATTGTATGGTACAATGTTGCATGGGAGGAGTCGATTCAGGTTGATCTCCAAATGTTGCCGATTCTCCCAGACCTCGGGGCGCTCCACGATGTGATTGTCAAGCCGATGTGGGATGGGAGGGCTGAATGACGCCCATCCAAGCATTCACCAGGCGCCACCTCGCCAGGTCGCTGGTAATCCAAGAATAGCGGGACGCAAAAGTCCGACTCGGGTCCCAAACCAGCCGCGAAGTCAGTCAGCCCGCAGGTCACTCAGCAGCCAAGGGACCGCGGGCGTCCAGAAGTCCTCCAAGCGAGTGGGCTTTTTAGAGCAAGGGGCAAGTAGCCATGTCCGATTTCAAAGCAGTGGCGAACAAGCCGTTTGTCCGGTCGTAAGGTGAGCATGCCCGCAATTCTAAGTGGCAATCGATGGCAAACACAACAGCGGACCGCGGGACATGTTGCGTGTTTGTGATGTCTTTGCTGGCATCAGATATCAATGGTTGAAGATGTCGACTGGCCTTCAACCCCGCAAATGCAGAATGCGAACCGCAGACCGTGCAGGGCTCGTATGTGATCTCTTGACTCTTTAACAACAGCTGCAGGGTGTGAGTGTGTGTCGAGGTGCATGGAGGTCGGGAACATGTGGAACAATCATCATCCATCCATGACGTTCCAACATGGAATCCAAGCTCAAGGCAACAAGGCTCTTCTTGTAAAGGTAAAAAAGGCAAGAGCAACTGGTCAACTGCCAAGCAAATGACAGGGGTGACAGCTGGAGCCACCCAAGATTTCCAATCGCCCGGGCCGGTGGCGGTTGCCCAGTGGAGAGTGGGCTGCAGAGAAGGAAATCAAAGGCGCCCGCTCCTTCCCCGACGGCTTCAACTCGAAAAGGCGTCTTATCCCCACGCGGTTTTACCAAGTCTACTCCGAGTCCAGATCAAGTCCAAATCCAAACCTCAAAATGCAAACGCAAATCCGGATCTGTCTCTAGTAAATGCACAGTCGGCATTATCCCTTGCCCCGTAATTCAAAATTCACAGTCCTCAATAGGCCGGGCGATCCCAAATACCCGAAGCTTCCTGGCCGCGGCCCTGACCTGACGCCTCCTGCCTTGCGTCGGGTCTCGCGCGCGCCTCTGCTTTGTCACTCAGATACGTTTCGTCAATGCGGACGTAATTCAGAATCCACACCCTCGCAAGCCCCCCGTTTCCGTCAATATCCTTATTAAGCTGCCGGCCATCACCTTAGATATTGACGTCGGTTACAACGTTCTTCGGCATGTCTGTCCTTGGCTCCGCTTGAGTCAGTCAGTTGGTCCAGAGGTCGTGTGGTTTGTGGTCCAAATAGAGATCTTTCCCCAGCCGTCTTGTCAGAGACTACCACACTCATACTCTAGTCTCGGACAGCCAACATACGACCCCAGCCAAAACCTCCTCCCCATCCCGAGCCGTCAGCTCATCACAGCGCCGACGAGCCTTGTGTCGACTCACCCAACATTTACATCAGACCACGCTCCTCGCAACTGCGAATCCGATTCCCCCCGCCGTTTGGCAAACTGCGCTGCTGGCAAGAATTTTAGGAACATTGAAGCCACTGGAGGAAATTAGTTATTACTATACGGAGTACTCGCGAGCGACCTGCAGCTGGTTGGTGTAAACGCCTCCCGCGCTGCATCTATGTCTCATTGAGATAACCATACCCGGCATAACTCCAGCGACAACCACCGTCTCCCGATTCCAAGCTTGTAGCAGTCCTCGGGATCCGACTCTCTGAAGCTATTTACACAATTCAAATACATGGCCACCGAAACGGAGACGCTGTCGCTGCCTCCGACAACGGCTCCAACCGACTTTACATCTTCGTCTGCATTTTGCCCGCCGCCGCATATGAACAAACCCGACCAGGACTTTACAATGAATGGGGTTCACTCGGTGGACTGGGATACCAATATGACGACCCCATGTCTTATGCCCGAGTCCAAAGTAGGCGCTGTTCCTCAGCCGCCGCAGCAGCTCATGATGCATCCTCTGGGTCAGCCGCAGCAGGTTGAATACAACGATGACATGTCTGACTCTGG